ACTGAGTTGCAGCGCCTGGGAAATTCTAAAGAAAGGAATGGTGGACGTGAATGTACAGCTTCGTCTGCAGCACCCACCCTGCAGGAGAAACAGAGGCTGTCTGGTAGCAGCCAAGAGCATATGAATGGGAGCTGCGAGGTGAACGTTGCAGACGCTGGATCGAACCCCTGCACAGAAGATGCTCCACCTGTACACAATGGAACATCAATGATTTAAAGGGTGTCTAAATCCCGGAACAAAAATGTTTATATATTGCAGCTTGCCATTCCTTAGATGCATTAGTTTTCTTTTTACGCTTTTTTCCCTTTATTTTCACCTGGTGATCCTGCCAGTAACTCACTTCCTGTCCTAGGGTGACAACGCTCACTTACCAAAATGGACTAGAGATAAATAAAGGTGGTGCTATACAATTACTTGCATGATACAGTGTGTGCAAAAGTACAAATCTTTAAATGGAGGGTCGCCCGTATAAGGAGGCCGCCTGAGGAGGTTGCCTCAGGCGGCGTCTCATCGGGTCAAGTGGAGTGTGCCTGCCGCTCCCTTTCAAGCCAGAGCGTCCCGGGTTGCTTAGAGCTGTTAACAGCCTGTGATGCTCTGGCTGGCGTCGCACCCAGCTCACTGACGTCACTGGTTGCCAGTGGCGCTCCCATCCTTTTCACATTCCTGATGAGAATTTCAGGAATCATGCCAATGGTTATTATGAAGCTACGATTGCTCATGGAGAGCAATCACTTAATGTAATATCGCCCCACCCTTTGTTTGCCTAAAGGAGCATAGTAAAAAGACCCCTCTATATGCTTCAGTTGGTCTGGTCAGAGCTTTCACAGGGCTCAGGACTCTCTTCCTACCCCTTGTTGGCAAGGGGTAGGGCATGGAGATTGGGTCTTTGGATTATGGAAAGAATTGGAGTGGGTTACATCTTCCCCAACACCTGAAGTACCAGTTATCTCCCTTTGCTGCAGGAGCCGGCTTACCAGCAAAACATAAGGTGAAGATATGCAGGAAGGAGGCAATTCAATGAACTTATTCCACTGCCTTGCATAGAATGGGGTTATACTGCTGTCTTGTAATCTCTTCATTATGTAATAATAAACTTTTCTACTCTGAACAAAGACTGCTTATGTCATGCTTTTGCTTACTGTGACCCCTTTTTCTCTATGCTATGTCCCTCAGATCCTTGGTTCTCATCTGGTGGGTCGTAACCCAAAAGTGGGTCACCACCCCATGTTCTGTGGGTCACTGCATTCCACTTTTCTAGGTGAGAGGCTCCTCAGCCTCCCCCTAGCACAGCACTGTCAGTTCTCGCACCGAGCAGCCATTCAAAATATGCTGCCCGGTGCTGTGTGTTGGCTTGAGGTGGGGTGGGCTGAAGGTATGGCCACCAGGGAGCTCCATTCATACATGTGCTGTATTGCTTACAGCTCCCTCACGTGCCCTGTAGAGGTGCCTGAACTGGATTGACGTCACATTCTGGCTCCTGACACCTCTACAGAGCACGCATGGGAACTGTGCAAGTAATGCATATGTGGATGGTGCTCTGTCGCAGCACAGCAGCCCAGCACTGGACCCACTTGAGTTCTTGTAAAGTTAAGGAGACTGGGCGGATCTTAAAATATTGTTTACAATTTTTTTGGAATGTGTATGTGAGAATGTCTGTAGTTCTGTGTGTATGTCAGTGTTTTTTCAGGGCCTGTTCACACTAGTACAGTGCGTTAATCGGTGTGGGAGGCATTCTGCTGTATTGCATTGCCATTCATTTGAATGGCACCCCAAATGCACATCCCACCCACAGTTTGATCACATGCACTGGAATGCACGGTACGGCAATGCTGTCTGCGTTCCATTGCAGTGTGACTCGGGTTGCGACTTATTGACCGAGGACAAATGTCCTGAGGTTACACAGGTTGAGAACCGCTGCCTAGGATGGTTGTTAGCTCTACTAGCACAGTTAGGTAGTACAGGTGGGAACCATGCCCATAGGGATCAATAGGATTTCACCTCTTGAGCGTTTTTCAGCGATTCGATCAGCGTTGAAAAACGCCCAGGTGTGAACCCAGCCTTAAAGTGACATTAAACCCTCAGATTTTTTAACATAAACCAATACTGTAATGTGCGCCTTACTGTAATCCATGGTTGTTTCCCTTCTCCTTGCTGCTCTTCCTTTTAAATCCTCATGTCTTCTCATGCTTGGGGAGAACTTCCCTTTGCAGCAGACTGCCTCTTCCTGTAGTGCTGACTCAGGTTGCAAACTTAAACACAGACACCATGTATCCATTCCAGAGACAAGGCAGTCTGCTGCAAAACAGAAGTTCTGCCCAGCATGAGAACAGATACAGATTTAAAAGGAAGAGCAGCAAAGACAAGGGAAACAACCATGGATTACAGTAATGCGCACATTACAGTATTGGTTTATGTTAAAAAAATCTGAGGGTTTAATGTCACTTTAAGGCTATTTCCTCTTCTGGTCGAATGTTCTTCCTATTTATGAGCAGTAGTTAATGCCGAAAATATCATTTTATGGCCACTAGATGGGCTGAAGATCATTGGAAATAATACATGTTATTAAGGAGATCCGATGTAACAATTCTAGAGACTGCTGTAGGGAATGAGCATATAAATGTAGCCATTAATACAACATTGTGGCCACTAGATGAGGATCATAGGAAATAAATACATGTTAGGAGATACAATGTTACAATTCAAGAGACCGCTGGAGGGAATAAGCATATAAATTATAACTATTGCTATCCCCGTAGTATCAGTGGTTACATTTATATGCTCATTCCCTCCAGCGGTCGCTTGAATTGTTACACTGTATCCTCACTAACATGTATTTATTTTCTATGATACCTCCTCATGTATCACTTCCCCCTCCCTTTTAGAGAGGGGGCGGGGCCCTCAGGGGTGGGGCCCTTCTTACCATCTTGTTTTGAATTGTAATGTCTCCCTTATATTGTAAAGCGCTGCGCAAACTTTTGGGGCTCTATCAATCCTGTATAATAATAATAAAAAAATGTAATATCCTCAGCTCTATCTAGTGGCCACAATGTGGTATTAATGGTTACATTTATATTTCATTCCCCTACAGCGGTCTCTAGAATCGTTACATTGAATTGATAAAAACTGATTTAAAAAAATGATTAAATAAACAAAAAGTAAAAAATAATTAAAATTAAAAAAAGTAAAAGGTGATTAAAAAGTTAAAAGATTAGAAGAAAAAACATTATAAAAAGGTAAAAGATAATAAGATAAATACATATTTAAAAAAAAGTAGAAAGAAAAATAACATTTTAAAAACGTTAAAAAAGTGATAAAAAAAGTAAAAAAAACGAAAGAAATTAAAACTAACCCTGCCGCCAGGGCCGGCCTTAGGGGTGTGCGAGCAGTGCGGCCGCACAGGGCGCCATGGCAACAAGGGCGCCGTGCGGCCGACACAGCTCGTCCTGGGGGCGGCTTCTTTCCCCCTCACCGCCGGCGAGTGGAAACAAGTCAGAGTGAATAGGATATACGGCAGGACGATGTGTCTCTATGTGCTTTAATACATTTTTTAGCGAAACTTGTGGTGTGCAACTGGATGTTTTTTCTGTAAGTAACTGCCGATGATGGACCAAGATGGGCTCGGGCAGTGTGTACCCACCATTCTCTCTAGTGCTGCTGTGAGGGGGGCGGGGGTTTTGGGGGGGGGGGGGGGGTGGGTGCATTGGGGAACCTGGCCTTGGGGCAGCCGAGAGAGTAAAACCGGCCCTGATGGTATAGTATGGTGTATGGCATTAGTTAGACATTTTTTTAATAGTAACTCACAAGCAACCAGAAACTACATTTATCTGGAATCTACCAAGCCTCGTGGATGCCGGATAACGGGGAGTTTACTATACTTTGTACTGTAAATAAATCTGCGGATGATGTAGAATAGGAACTGCACATTGTTTTGTGAGCCGTCATTGGAGGTCAGTGCTGCCATCTTGTGGTGGCTTTCAGGTAAGGCACCTGCTGCAGTTGGTCACACACCTCTATGATAGACTTGTACAAAGGGGTCACGCACCCTCCTTGGTCATCTGACACCACAGATCACGCGGCGTCTATCTCTGCAGTCAAATATCGCCATTTTGTCAGGCAGAAAGGAAAAAGGGTTGGGCAAAACTTTACATCAGGGCCAAATAATATAAAAATACACCACAAATCAATATATATATATTTACTTTGTAACCAATAATGAGAATACAATGTGTACGGCTAACCTCCACTCTCCTCTTCCTCAAAGAATAAAGAGAATATTGACCTTGATGAGCGAATACAATTTTGCAGATGCGCCAAATCATTCCTTAGCATACCCTGTGGCAATCACCGCGGCCGGATCATTCCGGACTTTGCTCAAAACTGAGTAGGCAAAATTTAAAAGGAGTTTTAAAGTGAACTACAGACAAAATATTTTTCTTCTTCTTTTAGTTAGAACGGGAAAGGGTTACAGGCTCTGTCCGATTTTTATTGCTATGTGACACCGGGGAGATTTCCTCTCGCTTCCTGCCCCAGAGACAGTGGTCACCTCCTGGACAGGAAGTGAATGAAAGAAGCCTTCTCTTACCCGACTGGAAAAATTGAATTCCCTGCAAAAGAAGATGGGATTTAATTTTCACCACGCGGTCACATTAAAAGGGAAGCATAGTGATTTTGTACTTATTTCTTATTTATTTATTTTTTAAATCAGTTCCTCTTTATTGCTATCACATAGGGGGAGTTCTCTGGGAATCCTTTTGTCATACAATAGATGTTTTAATAGTAAAACGCAGATTGGATACGTATGATAAAAACACTAAACATCATTAGATTTAAAAGATTTAATGTAAAAACCAAAAAATGAAATATAAAATTGACCCGCAACCTTTATAGTTCCCCTTTAGTCCACAAGTACCCCAAAGAAAGACCGTCCAATGAATTGTATGGAAAGCGAATTGCCGGCATTTGAATGATTAGAGTTGATCAGTGAATGTGGATTTTCGGTGCTATTTTGATGAAGGTTTCTGCTCGTCGGTGGAGACACAGGTGTGTTTGTTTCGTTGCATCTGGTTCCACTGGGATATTATGTCCCCGGGACTCAATCCATGGGAGGTGACAATCCGGCTGTATCCACAATCTGTGTATTGAACCCTCCAGATATTGAAATCCGTCCCCTTTGGTGGTGCCACGGGTTGCACCCCTATCTTTTTAAGGCAAAGGCCAACATAGACATCCTCAAGGTAGACCCACCTAACGGATGGGGAGACCTCAACGATTTTACCTGCCAAGCCTGCGGAGAAGACATAGCCAGTCCCGGAACAGAACAAAGGGTAATCGTTCTCTGGGTATTCCTCCGGGGACATATACCATTTACTGTCTGTGTTGCGAATGGGTCGGCCATTGATGAATAGAGATCCTGTAAAATAGTTCAATCTCGGGGGCTGATCTGGTTTCAGGAGACTGTTTATTAAATATTCGGTACCGATAAACATGTCACTGTCCGTTTTCATTACGTAGGAGGCTCCTGGGCAATGCGTGGCAACCCAACTCAAACCATTGAGGACCTTCGTGGTTAAGTTTCTGTAGGTATCCAGATAATCCTGTTGAATGATATCGTGAAAGGCCTGGCTTTCCTCCACCAGAGACTTGTTGGCATCATCAGTCCACTTGTTGTCCTTCCCTAATAAAAAGAGCCGGAGCGTCTTGACTCCAGGTAGAAGGTCCTCCTTTCCCCACGTCTGTCGGATGGCCTGTCGGGCTTCCTTCTGCCACCTTTCCGCCGTAATGAGTAGAATGAGGAATGGAGCGCCATCTTTGCACTTGTCAGGCTCGTTGATGGTGTAGTCATATATGTAAGGCAGTCTTTGATGCTTTTCTATTGACTTGTTTCTCAGCGCTGGTTTGGGTTCCTCAAGAACTGTTTCTGACTTGCCTATTTGAAAATTCCTGATCATAAGAGGGAACATGCTGGGTATTTCAATGTGTGAACCACCAACCAGCTGCAATGGTAGCCTACCAATATGGCTCAGGATAAGCAATGTCAACGTAAAAAGAACTAAGCACAGAAACACTTGGTATTTATACCATTTATTGCCCAAGGGGCATTTGATCGTTTTCAGGAAAACCATGATGGCTTGTTCAGATGTACTTCAGATCTCCAATGTTTGTGGCTTAACGTTCTTCTGCTTTTGGAGACCCCCACAATGCCTTAATTTCCTGGAGTTGTCACACTGAAAAACACATCAAACGATGTAAGTGTTAGGAATATAACAAAATGTACAGCAAGCAATATCAAGTAAAGTGGCTGTCGCTGGTGACCTTCTTCTAAACAATGTTGGTTCCTTGAAAAGAAGGACTAGTATGTTGCCCTTGGTTTGATTAATCTATTTGGTTTTGAATGCCCTCATATATATCATTAAACTGTAAAATAATATGTTGATCTAAGTATAACACCCGTGGTGATTATTATGTTGTATATATGTTGTAATAATAATAAAAAAAGTGGTGGTTATGAAATTTCGTACCAATGAACTCTGTGAGTAATAAACTTAAATCTTGGTTAATAATTGATTAATTAGTATGTGTCTCTTTTCAGTGATTATCTCTTAAGCTGGCCACACACCTTACAATTATCTGCAGATTTTCTGTGGTCAGATGGAAAAGGTGCAACAGATTCCTCCATCTACACTTAACTGTGTGGATGGAGTAATCTCCACCTGGGCCAATCTGTCATTATTATTATTATACAGGAGTTATATAGCGCCAATAGTTTGCACAGCGCTTTACAATATAAGGAAGACATTACAGTCACAATACAATTTAAGACAAGATGGTAAGGAGGGCCCTGCCCGTGAGGGCTTACAATCTAAAATGTAATCAAGTATCACCACTGTTATTTTGCACATTTTTATTCACAAGTTCACACCCCCCAGTGTATCTGTTGCACTTTTTCCATCTGACCACAGCAAACCTGCAGATAATTGTAAGGTGTATGGGGCTGGGCACCTTAAAGTGTGAGATATTCTAAATACTGTATGGCGTGGTGTAATGAACTCCACCCAACTAGTAAGTGTAACCACTATATGTGTGTTTAAAACACATCACACTGGGGGGGGGGGTGAACTTGTGAATAAAAATGTGCAAAATAACAGTGGTGATACTTGATTAATAATGCATGAACGAAATACAGGTTAAACTCCAAAAATAGTTGGATAGAAAAGTGATATCCTTATCATAATATAATGTGAATGTGTGTGCTATGGTAGCTGTTGTAGGTACTTTCCCGTGAGTAAACTACAGCATATATTCAGTGCAGCGTGTATTCAATGTAACCAACAATATGGCATTTCACCCTTTAACTGTAACAACATTTCAACGTGCCCAACAAGTTAAACTGGTATAGAGTGGAACGAATCCAGTAAAGACACCGCTGTTATTGCTTCCTTTCCACCTTCCAATTAATCTTATCATACACATCACCTACTGCAAGCATTAATTCCTCTTTTAATTAAAGAAGATATCTTATTTGCAGTCCGCTTATCTGTCCTTATCGAGGTCAGAGATTCAGGGAAAGGTAGGACTCAGGTAGGATTAAAGTCTCTTTTTTCTTCACTCTATCACAGAGCTGATGGAATCACTCTTATTTCTTTCCTCTCCGGTTAACCCGTCCTTCTCCTCTACGGCGGCGATACCAGCCCACCGGGTGCAGTTGGAAACAAGACCGGGCAGATTTGGTGAAGGGAAAACGAAAGAAAAACAATCCTAAGTGCAGCAATCAAATCATTTATTAAAAGCAGAAGATGTTCACACTTACATGATTGTAGAGTATAAAAGCATTTGAGTGTAAAGGACACTCAGCCTTGTAGATCATCCGGTATGTCGGAGAAGAATCCCTTGACGCCTTTCGTCCTGCCTGGACTTTTTCAAAAGGGTGCTTGCAGTATGTGATGTGTATGATAAGATTAATTGCAAGGTGGAAAGGAAGCAATAACAGCGGTGTCTTTACTGGATTCGTTCCACTCGGGAAAGGTCCCTTGTATGTGACTATACCAGTTTAACTTGTTGGGCACGTTGAAATGCCATATTGTTGGTTACATTGAATACAGGCTGCACTGAATATATGCTGTAGTTTACTCACGGGAAAGTAACTATAACAGCTACCATATCACACAAATACACATTATATTATGATAAGGATATCACTTTTCTATCCAACTATTTTTGGAGTTTAACCTGTATTTCGTTCATGCATTATTAATCAAGTATCACCACTGTTATTTTGCACATTTTTATTCACAAGTTCACACCCCCCAGTGTGATGTGTTTTAAACACACATAGTGGTTACACTTACTCTAGTTGGGTGGAGTTCATTACACCATGCCATACAGTATTTAGAATATCTCACACTTAAGAGATAATCACTGAAAAGAGACACATACAAGTAATCAATTATTAACCAAGATTTAAGTTTATTACTCACAGAGTTCATTGGTACGAAATTTCATAACCACCACTTTTTTTATTATTATTTACAACATAATAATCACCACGGGTTTTATACTTAGATCAACATATTATTTTACAGTTTAATGATATATATGAGGGCATTCAAAACCAAATAGATTAATCAAACCAAGTGCAACCAATTTGTTTGAAATAATGTTGGTTCCTTGGCTGTCATGGTCATCCTCCTTATCTTCAGTAGTTCCTGAGCCTCTGGACCATAACAACTATAAAGAGCTGGCGTTCTGACTTGCTGCACACTTTTTCCTTGTTAGTGAGTCAGAGAGACAGATAATTAGCATGACATCCAGGCAACTGTAGTCTTTAGGAGGATGTCAGATACGGCAGATATGGCAGCCTACATATTTCACTTCATGATGGATTCCCTTTAATGTAGAACTGCAGCCAGGTCCATCTCTATCATGAGGCTGCCTGAGACTGTTTCATCAGATAGCATCTCTTTGGGTCATGTGGGAAAGGGGGGGGGGGGGCAGCAGGCAAAGTGGCATGGCCTCTCTGCTGCACAATGTTTCCAGTGTGCCTGCTGCCCACTTTCCAGCCAGAGTGTCCAAGAGAGCCAGGCAGAGAGATGTGTAAGGACCATACACATTTCCCCACCCAGCTCTTAGCAGCCTATGATGCTCTGGCTGGCATCCCACCCTGCTCACTGACATCACTGGTTGCCAGGAGCTGGGTGGGATGCTGGCTAGAGTCCCGCTCAGCTCCTGGCAACCGCTGACATCACTGGTTGCCAGGAGCTGGTTGGGACACTCTAGCCGGTGACCTGCAAAGCTCTGGGCAACCAGTGATCAATTAGCTGGCGGGATGCTGGCCAGAGCCGGAGCCAGAGCTTAGCATGCACTACCAGCACCTTCGCCAACCCCAAACCTCTCCGAACGTGCACCAACAGCGCCCACACCCCCCCTTTCCCAAATGTGCGCCACCAGCACCTTCGCCAACCCCAATCCCCCCAAACGCGCACCACCAGCGCCCACACCCCCCCTTCCTAAACATGCACCACCAGCAACACCCCCCAACCCACCACCCTAGCCTCAGGCGGTGAATAGGCTAGGGACACCCCTGACTGAAGCCAAAACTTTTTTTCAGTTTTGAATAGAGTAAGGGAGTGTTTTAACCCCTGTCAGCTGTTTCTGCCATATTTTTCCCATTGCGGAGATTTCCCTGTGCTTTCAAAGTGAGAGAAATCCCTGGGTGTACCCAGAACTAGTGTCCCCATTGGAAGATTTCCCATCTATTCCTGTTCTAGAAAACAACCCAAAATGTGGGATTTTCTTTGACTCTCAGTGACAACGGTCACCAGGACCAATCAACATATGCATCTCACTAACGGAGACACAGACAGCAATAAAAGCTGACAGGTGTTCTAATTGTCAACGCTAAGCCTCATAAAGGGACCCTGTGTGGCCCCGAAATCGCTTGTTTATATCACAAGGAACTTCAATAATTGAACATTTGCTCATCCTAAAGGTGCCCATACACCTGCCGATTATCGTACGATAATCGCGAGTGATCCCGTGATCGTACGACAATCGGCAGATGTATGGAAGGCGTGCGACCGTTTCTACTGTACGGTCGCACGTCTTTTGTCTTCAGAGCACGCTTGAAAATCGTAAGATTTTCGGCGGGTTAGTGGCGTTCTCGGAAGACAAATGCCGAACGGTCCGGCGTGAGCAAGCGCACACTGCCCACTCAGCATTGGAATCATCGCAAGCCCTCCCCTCAGCGGGGAGGGCTTGCGATGATAGCAACTACGATCTGCCTGTCCAAGATGGGCAGATCGTATGAGATTTTAATGTCGTGTGATGGTTGTAAGGTGAATGGCCAGCTTTAGAAGGATTTTGGTGTGCCGGTGACATCTCTACACAATTGCAGGTGTTCTAATCCCTCCCCATTCTATCCAATTTAAATTTAAAAAAAACAGTTTTGGCCTCAAAACTTTCGTCTGACCACAAATATCAAATTGTCACCTACTGCCAGCATTTGCAGGACTGGATGGCTGTCTTCTCAAGCCTATGGAAATACATTGATAGCTAAAACTGAGTCTAAGCAAGTTATTGATCTTCCGGGGGGCATTGTGCTTCTCTCCTCTGTCTATAGCTGGTTAATGATTATCAACTGATTAAGACAGAAGGAAACCGCAGTAGACTAAAGTCTTTATTTTCCACCCTAGTAGGTTATGATTTAATGTGAAAATTAATATAACAGATAACTGTAGTTAATGATTACTGTAGTTAATGATTACTTGTTAACATTTCAGAGGAATACATTTTACTGTCGGGAAACATAATAGACTACTTCACAAAGAACAAATGAACCGGAATCATCAGCACTCAGTGGAAAATATTCAAAGGATAAAGTCCATCTAATCGGACAAATCATCATACATGTTGCAATAATTATAACCGACATTTCGGGGGCCACGCAGGGACCCCTTCATCAGGG